ATGAAAAGTTAACTTCTGCTAATGGTAGTAAAATGCATGTTAAATATAAATTACCTAAAGTTCATATTTGTCAAAAATAATGTTTGTTTTAGAACTTCATTTGTTTCGGTTTGAAATATAACTGATAAAATCATTTTAGGCACAACATTTATATATTTATTATATCCATTTACTACATCTAGTGAAGGAATAACTACTCATGTTTTAGGCTAACTTGTTACTTTTCAATTCTTGTCTCCACCTGAAATGTTAGAATTAAATCAATTAAAAGATTGTTCTATTTCTCAAACTATTAATCGATTAACTCGACAGTTACGTTTTCTTAAAGAAGAAATCAATTATAAGAAAATTGATCAACAATTAACTGATCCAGTTCTTATTTCTCAAATTCATGAATTTAAATTAAAATTAGAAACAAATGTTTGTTCTACTTTACCTACTGCGTTCTGGCATAGGAAAAAACATGTAATTACATTACCATATATTAAGAATTTTCATGAACGACAAATCCCTACTAAATCTAGACCTATTCAAATGAATCATGAATTACTTGAAATGTGTAAAAAAAAAATTAATGAATTATTAAAAAATACAATAATTAGTCCAAGTAAATCACCATGGTCATGTCCTGTTTTTTATGTTAATAAAAATGCTGAATTAGAACGAGGTGTCCCTCGCCTAGTTATTGATTATAAATCATTAAATAAAATTTTAGAATGGATTCGCTATACAATTCCCAATAAAAAAGATTTGATTAAAAGACTTAGTCAAGCTGTTATTTTTAGTAAATTTGATTTAAAAACTGATTTTTGACAAATCCAAATTCATCCTAAAGATAGATATAAAACTGCTTTTACTACACATTTTGGTCATTATGAATGGAATGTAATGCCATTTGGATTAAAAAATGCTCCTAGTGAATTCCAAAATATAATGAATGATATTTTTAACCCATTTAGTCATTTTTCTATTGTCTATATAGATGACATATTATTCTTTTCTAAATCCATTAGTGCACATTGGAAACATTTAACTGCATTCTTCTACACTATTAAAAGTCATGGTCTAGTTATATCTGCTCCTAAGATTAAATTGTTCCAAACTAAAGTCCGTTTTTTAGGATATGATATTCATCAAAATACACTTTTACCTATTAGTCGCTCCATTGAGTTTGTGTCTAAGTTTCCTGATGAAATTTTCGATAGAACCCAATTACAACGGTTTTTAGGTTCTCTCAATTACATTGCTGAATTTTACAAAGACCTTTGGAAAACTTGTCAACCTCTGTTTGGTCGGTTGAAAGATAATCCTCCTCCTTGGTCTCCTGTTCACACTTCTATTGTTAAACAAGTCAAACAATATGTCAAGTCTCTTCCTTATCTTGGTATTCCTACTGAAAATTCCTTCAAAATTATTCAAATTGATGCTTCTGATATTGATTATGGTGGCATTCTTCTTCAAAAAGTCACTCTCAGTCCTTTGAACAAATTGTTCGTTATCATTCTGGTGTCTGGAATAAAACACAATTAAACTATAGTACTATTAAAAAAGAAATTTTATCTACTATTTTATGTATTACCAAATTTCAAGATGACATTTTAAATCAAAAGTTTTTACTTCGTGTTGATTGTAAATCTGCTAAATATGTTTTGAAAAAAGATGTTCAGAATCTTACTAGTAAGCAAATTTTTGCCCGTTGGCAATCTATATTAAGTATTTTTGATTTTGATATTGAATATATACCTAGTTGTCAAAATTTTATTCCTGATTTTCTTACTCGGGAATTTTTACAGGGGGATAGAGATGACCACTCCATTTATTGTTTACCATAAAACCCAAATTACCCATTACCGTGATTTCATTCATCAAACTGCTTACAGAATTACCCGAAATGGAACAAAAGTAGGGATAGAGATAAAGAAGAAGAAGCAGCACGGAAATCACGGAAATACAGATAATTGAAATAGCACAAAGTATTAAAATATTTAAAACATTTTAATACAATACAATAATAACTTACAATTGTTTAACAAACGTTGCAGTTGCAGTAGTACTGAATTGCTTCAAAATACATTTTTAAACAAAAGCAGATTGACTAGTTGACTAGGTGTTGGTTCTCACTCAGTTCTCACACAGAACTTTTCACTTTTGAACCTCTACCTACAAATGACTTAACCATTACAATTTATAGAAAGGAAAATTAACTATGCAGCATGTGACTTGGATTTGATCAAGAGAGCAGCTGGCAGCACATGGGCAAAAGCAGGCTGTTTGATGCTTTCGGCTGATTGACAAAAGTTGATGTAGCTTTTAGCAGATTAATCGAGTGATGAACAGTAAATGTGAATAGTGACTTTTTACTATTCATTACTTTCGGTGGAGACATATTAATAAAGGAATCAATATAAATACAAATTGGCAGCTTTTCTCAAAAGTGTATTGATTGAAGCTAATTTGTATGTATATGGAATCCAATGCAGAGCTGACTAGGCATATGGGTCTTGAGCATCTTGAAACTTGGGTCCATATGGGTTTTGAGTAGTTGAACCTTCAGAAGAGTTTGAACTGTCTGAACTTTCTTCTGAATTGTTGTTATCCGAATTATCCGAATCTGACTGAGCTTCAGCCTGATTAACAAGCAGGCGGGCCATCTTGAGAAGTTTATCTCTGGATGACTTGGACTTAACCTTTGGCTGAGCCTGTGAAGCAGGAGCTGGAGACTGAGCCTTGGATTTTGATTTATTCTTGGAAATGGGCTTATCCGATAGTTTGGGTTGAACAGAGCTGGGCTTAGCTGTCTTTGATTTAGCCTTTTACTTGGACTTTGAAGAACTTGAAGTTGGGCTTCCAAGATTAACAGCAGGAAGTTGGCTTCCTTGGGTGATTAAAGCAGTTGGGATCTACTGATCTTTAACCATGGCAGGTGTAGGAGCATGAATGTTAATCGGGAACTCAGTTTGAACAATTTCAACAATGCAGGGAATTTTGTAATTATCCCACCATTTAACTAAATGTATCCTTTGAATCACATCATCAGAAATGTCATAGTGCCATTTAAATATCCAAGGGATCTTATATTTGGATATAAAAATAATTTCTTTTTTTGTAGAGTGAATGAGAAAACAGTTGAAAAATAGTTAGTCTGTTCCAGCACAATAGCTGGAAAGATATCTGAAATGGCGCCATAATGAGTCCACCATCTCAGAAACCAAGTAGGTAGTTCAGATTTAAACTTTTGATCAAACTGAATGAACTAGGAGTGACTAAAAGTTTCAGTTTGATATAAAAATATTTTGAACCAGGCATAAATATAGTCATCAAGGTTTTAAAAAGCGGCCGCAACCGTTACGTAACGCCGTTACGTAACGGTTTTGGAGATTACCGCCACCCGTTACGGCCGCTTTTGCAGTGTGATTGAGATTCACAGGTGTGTCGACCGTAGCGGCTGCCGTAGCAGTCGTAATGGTGTCGTAACAGCCGTAACGGCCTGTTACGCACCGTTACATAACGGTTCCAAATTGTTTCTTTCAAAAAAACACAAAAAAAAAGCTGAAAATGGGAGAAGAGGGATAGAGAGAAGAGGGAAGATGAAGAGAGAAAATGGAGGAGCAAGAGATAGAGAGAGAGAGAAAGAGAGAGAGAGAGAGAAGATGGAAGATAAAGAACATGTTATTGACTTGTTGAAACTGTAAGACCTATGCTATTTTATTCAGTTGCTATCACTCAACCATTTTGTTTGTGTGTGTCTATATATATATTGTTTGAAAATAATAATAATAATAATAAGTGTAGTCATTATCTATTTGGATTGGTTAAAATATATATATATATATATATATAGGCTCTTATTTATTATCTTACTTTTGTCATTGTTTATCTTATATATAATAGTTAGTGATTGATTTTTTGTATAATATAAAGTCATTAATTATCAAAATAAAATGCAAAAAACTCAATTTATAGTGATTTAAAAATATGAAATATATTAGATCATACTTAAAAATTTACAAAAATTGATCAATATTTATTTTTAACCCAATAAATATAATCATGGAAAAAAAATATACATATCGATAAGTTTTTTTCAAATTGTGCAAAAAATAAAAAAATTCACGGCTTCGGTTACCGCAACTGTTACGCTACGGCCTTTACACCCCGCAACCGCGCCACCGCCACCGTTACGGCAACCGCAACCGCTTTTTAGAACCTTGGGTGTACCATACCACGATATCAAGAGTAATGCTCTCAAAAGTATGTCCAATCGGCAATATCTTGTGGGATCTTTAGATAATAACTATTATTATTATTATTATATATTATATAATAGTTATTATATAACATAAATATACTTATAAGATAATATATACTTATTAATAAATAAATAAATAAACACATATATGTAAAATAAAATAAAAAAATTAAATGGAATACATTATTTAAAAAATATAATAAATAAATAAAATAATTAATGTGTATTAAAATAAAAATATTTATAAAAAAATTAAAAAATTTGCCGTGTCCCCTGCCGTGTCCGTGTCCCCCATTTTTTAGAAACTGCCGTGTCCGTGTCCGTATGCGTGTCCGTGCTTCATAGCTTTGGTATGCTTCATTGTGTTTTGGTGCGTTTCGGTATGGTTTGGTGGAAATATTAGAATTTTGGTATTCCACTGATTTTTTGATTTGGTATCCTAAGAAACAGAAACATTTTGGCCATTTCCATGAAAACAAAACCAAAGTTTGTTCCTTGATATTGGGATACATGCATGTGCTCTTCTGACAAATACTATTATCTTGAATGATAAAACATGGGCCCCATTTATCACCACTTATGGCAATGTTACAAATTCTGCGTTCTGCTTTGCGTTTCATTCCTTAGATTGGTTCATGATCACATTTTATTTTTCTAAAATTTGAATTCTGATACTGTGACTTCAATTACACGTTTATTTATTTATTTTTTTTGATAAATCTTCAATTACACATGGACGCTTTGATTGCAGATCAATCCTGTTTCATCTGGCGTTCAGTATGATAGAGAGTTCATCGTGTGTTCTTTGGACTTGCTCTCTGGACTTACAGAAGGTCTCGGTAGTGGGATAGAGAGTTTGGTATTCTCCATTTTCCGATTCTCTCTCTCTCTCTATATATATATATGAAATGGTTTTAGCTTTTGCTGAGCAATGCTCCTTGAAAATGTAAATGATTAAAATAAATTCTGGGTGATGGTGGTTAATAATTTTGTTATACACTGCCTGAGGATTCTTGACAAATCACAACACAAATGAGCGGAATTATTCATTCAGCAAAAAGTGATTATCGGCAACCATTAAAGGTCTTTGCTTCTTTCGATAGCTCTTTACATCCTCACTCATCACGTCAGGAAAAGACAAACATATTGTGCCTATATTATAATAAATCTGTCCATATGTCAACTACCTTAAACAACGCATTTTTAACTATGAAAATGATTTTTTTATTTTTTTTTATTTTAATATTAGTACTGCTGTCCATAAGAATACATCTCAACAAAGCTATTGACTACACGGGAGTCACCTGCAACAGACTATCTGGATTATTATGCCTTGAATATTAATTTTCCTGTCCATGTCTTCTGTCACAAATCATTCTGCAGGTTACACAAAGTAGTTTGAGGGACCTGCTTCTTCAATGTTGCATTGATGATGCTCCTGATGTCCGACAAAGTGCATTTGCATTGCTTGGTGACCTTGCAAGAGTAAGTTGACAGTGCACATATACATTACTGTGTAACTTACTCCTATGCCTAACGACTAGAAAGAGTTCTTACCTCTACCCGTTTCATATATATAGCAGTTTACAAAATATATAAATCAAAAGGCACAAAAAAAATGGGGCACTGCCCTGTACACACAATGTATACAGTTGATCTGAAAGCCCTATGATTCTCTTACATATCTACGTGGATATTCAAATCTGCCACAAAAAATCTACAAAAGAGTATAAGGAAAAATGAAAGTCCTCTCTAAGCCAAAAATACTAGGAAACTAGCATAGTTCCTTACGGGCAGGGAATGGGACATTCCACAGCTTCAAAAGACCTCCTATTTCTCTCTCTTCTCAAGTATCACATCACATAAGAGCATAACGGGTCGATTTCCTAAACTTTCCTATTACAGCCCCAACTCCAAGATGCAAACAGTTTCCTAGCTGTCCTACGTATAACTCACTATACTCCAAACACATAGTACACCATATCCTAAACTTCTCTAGCAACTAGGTAATGCAGAAGAAAATGATTGATGCTTTCACCGTCTTTCTTACACAAGCGACACCAATCCAGCTTGAATTTGCCTCTCTTTCTCAAATTATCAACCGTCATATGGACTATGCTTTCACCCCACTGAACTGCCTATAGTGGGATTTACAAACTACAGACTTCCGTGCAGTAGGGCAGGGAGGGTGGGTTTTTTCTTTTTAGGGGGTGGGGCAGGGTAACTTGTAAGCTGCTCTATATAAATGAGCCATAGGGCCAGGAAGTGCCTCCAGAAGCCGATGCTCTTTCTTTCTTTTTGTGTGTGTGCAGATTTATGTGGTTTTTTATAATATTAATACCATTTGTTGTGTTTGATTAGGTCTGTCCTATTTATTTGCAACCTCGTTTGTCTGAATTTCTCGATGTTGCCACTAAGCAACTGGTAAGAGCAATATATTTTTTGATTTCTAAACATTGTTTGGTGGTTCTATTATTTACATAGACATGCTGTGTACAGAACACCCCTAAGCTGAAGGAAACTATTGCTGTGGCAAACAATGCTTGTTGGGCAATTGGAGAACTAGCAGTTAAGGTAGTTTCACCTTTCTAATAGCGTCAGAACAATTCTAGATTATATTGCATGTTGATGCAAATCATCCTCTGTTCTTGAACTAGCCAACTCTGGCTTAAAGATTGTGGCTTAATTTGAAGTTTGGATGCTTGTTATGACTTCAAATTTGGCATAATTCTCTTCTTTTTATTTTTATTTTTTATCCCTGCATGTGGTGTTTGTCTGTTTACAGCTGATTTGATTTTCAATGCTTTGTGGCATTTTTTTTTTTACAACTTTTATGTTTTTATCCATGATCCTAAAACAAGACATCATAGATGTCTGTCCCATGGTTTGTGGGTAGGAATGCTGATGTTGTAGTTGATTTAGTCCCTGAATGTTGGTATGAAACATTGAAATATGATCCACTAATTTAGCATGTGCAAATTTAGTGGGAAAAATATGAAAGGCATGGTTCAGATACTTGATCATGTTTTAAAACTGGATGGTATGCAAATCCATTAATCTAAACATGAACCTTCTATACTTCTTGTTTCGAAGGGCCTGCCAATTTTTATAGCTCATTCTTAACATGCCAACTGCAGTGGCTTTAAGATTCGGGTGTATTACTATTAGCTTCTTGACATTTGTGAAAGTTATCTTATTGATGCAATAATTTTTTTTCATGAGTAATGCATGTTATGTTTATTCTTTGAAGAACCAAATGGGAAGGGTTGGAGTTACCTAGGTTCTTATATTATTGATTCTTAAAAATCTATCTGCCCCCTACTTACATTTTACATCATTTCAATATGTTTTGTGTCAACATATCACTTTTGGGACTCAATTGTCCGAAGTTGGAACAAATGAATTAAAAATGTTTAATTATCCTTTGTTTTGGCATTACCAGCTAGCTTAGTTGCTAAGTCTCTTAGTAGTCGTACCAAAGACCTGGGATTGGAATACCACCACCTTGGCTAAGGGGATGATGGGTAAGGGGTGAGCTACCCCATGCTTTATATATGTATGTAACATGGTAACATATTTTGGGATTGGATTTGATTGCTAATCTCCTTATTTACCTGCATTTCATCTCTATGTTTACTATTTCAGTGTGTGTGTGTGTGTTTGAATCAATAGCAAATGAATTTATTGATAATGCCATTTCATAGGTTAGAAATTTTTTGACATATTGTTCGCTACTAAATTTCAGGTTCGGGAAGAAATTTCTCCAATAGTGATGACTCTTATTTCATGTTTGGTTCCAATTCTTCAACATGCCGAGGTAATTGTTTTTCCTTTGCTGTGTGACTGTGATGCATGTGCAAGCATTTGCACTCTTCTGTGCATGGATATATGTTTTGGACTATATTATCGCTAATTATGTTTCTTGATTGCCTAGCAGGAGTTCAATAAGTCACTTATGGAGAATAGTGCTATCACCCTTGGACGACTTGCTTGGGTTTGTCCGGAGCTTGTGTCACCACATATGGAGCATTTCATGCAAGCATGGTGTATTGCTTTATCCATGTATGTTCTTGTTTTATTTTTCACCACTCCTCGGTAAATGATTTCTTGATGTTAGTATTTGCAATGCTTTGAATTTATTAGAAGAATATCATAGAGATTCTTGGTCATAATCAGAAGGGAATGGCCATAATCTAAGTTCAGTGTTAAAACAAGGAACTTTGAATCTTGGTTGAAAACAAGGATGTGTTATATATGTATGATGTAGCATGTATACAGAAGGTAGGACAATGCATAAATATATGATATTTGTCAAACTGATGCCTTTTGCGCTGGAAGTTTCCATGTGTGCTTTCTTATGTATCTGTTGGACCACTCAGTCTATTTCCCTAAAAAAAAAAAAAGTTTTGTTAGAATTTACCTTCACCTACACCACTACCACCTCACCTACTCCACTAAACCTAACTCACTACACCACTACCACCTCCACTTCACCTACACCACTACCACCTCCACTTCACCTACTACACCTATATCTCCTATATAAGGAGCCTCTCACATTTGTACTAAATGTATCTATCAATAAATCAATAACAATCTTGTAATTCATCAATCAATAATACATCAGTTTATTTTACATATTCTCCAAACTAAATTTTATAAAATGTGTACAGGCAAAACAAATTCATCTTATTATATAGCAATTACTGTAGAAATACAATTTTAATAATATAACAAGGGATCCGTTATTCCCACTCTATTTTGCTTCAAATGCACTCTCTTCTTTGTCCTTAATATACATAGTTATGTTAATACCCTTTCACACAAAATACACTCCTTGAAAAAACCAAAATTTCAAGGGTATTAATGTAACTATGTATAATAAGGACAAAGAAAAGAGTGTATATGAAGCAAAGTCGAATGGGAATAGCGGCTCCCTATAACAAGTGTAAAAATCTGCAATTTTGTCCTAAAAAATAAGGGGGGCTGGGTTTTAAGCTTTTACAACTTGGAATAAAGCTGCAATGTTGAAGCATTTATGGGCTATTTGTAAGAAAGCTGATTTTTGTGTGTCAAATGAATTCATACTTATATCATAAAAGGTTGTTGTCTCTGTGGTCCATATCTTTACCTGTTGATGCTTCATGGACTATAGAAAGATCTTTAGAGTGGTTTGTCATTGGCAATGGTAATGATACTTTTTTTGGGACTTGATAACTGGCAAGCAGGGATATTGGAATTGGCCTAAGAGAAGAAATAGGAGTATCCAACAGATTATAACTCATATGCCTCATTCTTTGAGGCCTGTTATTACTAAGGATGACAATATGTAAGGTGGCTTCCCAAGTCTAATAATCAATTCACCATTCATTCTGCTTGGAAGGCAATTAGGGAATGTAAACCAGTTGTTCCACGGTATAAAGTTGTGTGGTTTAGAAAGCAAAAATCTTTTTATCTCTCTAAACTGTTTCTCTTAAACCTTCATCCGGAGCCTCACCGCTGGCTGGCCACCGCCAATGGCCATGTGGCGAGCTGGCCTCTTCTTTCTCTTTGCGTGTGCGCGTTTTGTTTTCTTCAATAAACTAGAACCCCCCATAGTTTTATTACTCTCACCATAGTTAGTTCTTAGTTTGTTTAGGGTGTTTTTATTCTTTAGTTTTGGTGATGGGTGCCTCAATTTCAGACGTTTCTGAGAGAGTTTTCGGTTATAGGTTTAGCGGCTATGGAAGAAAGGGTGAGGGGGGTTGTCAATTCCACCATTTTCGGCGATCTTAGATCTATCATTTCCGACAGACAGTGGCTCCAAATCTATTGTGTTCAGCAGTTGGTTGTTTTTGGGCATTGTTTTCGAAGGTATCAGATGATGTGTAATTGGGATGTTTGGGCGTTGGTTGGGCATGGTTTGGGTTTCAGCAGATGGCTTCGGTAGGTGGGTGTTTGAGAGGTGGCTCCAGCTTGGGTGTTGGTTGGGCAGGTGGGTGTTTAAGGGGTGGCTTCAGTTTGGGTGTTGGTTGGATGCTTTTTTGAGTGTTCGGCAAATGGATGTGGGGGATTTGGAGGGTGTTTGATTGGTTGAGTTTGGTCGGTTGGATGTTGTTTCGTTGGGAGTTTTGAGAGGGTGTTTGTGCGGGGGCCCTTATTGTTTTTCGGCAATTTTGGATCGGTAATGGACGGTGGTCGGGGTGAAAGAGGAGAGGGAGCAAAGGAGCTTGTTCATGAACGAGGAACAAGAAGCTTATTTCAACAATCGCAACAAGTAAATGGAGGCGGAATCGAGATGGTGTGTATTGGAGCTGCAGCGGCAGAGATGGTGATGGAGCTGGAATTGCAAGATGGGATGCGAGTAGTAGCGGAGGTGGAGTAGCAGAAATGGGGGGCGAGTGCAGAGATGGAGCTGTGGGATGGTTGCTTGTGGTGTTTTTCGTCCTCTTTGGCAGGGTTTTTTTCTTAGTGATGTGCGTGGAGGTTGGTGAGGTGGATCAATATTTGGGGATGTGTTTTTGGGGAACAGAAGGTTGTGGGATTTCAGTGTGGCTTTGGGTAGTGTGTTTTGGTGTGGGAAAGATTTTCTGGGCGGTTCAAATCTTTCTGGTGTTTTGTGTTTAAGAGCTTCTCAATTATTATTTTTTTCCTTGTAAAACTTAAAAAATCATGAGGCTGAGGGGTTGGTTGTGTGGATGCGAGTAGCAGTACTAGGGGAGTTTGAACTCTCTGAACCTGTCTCTGTACATTTCATTTCCGCGTACCTTTAATTTCATGTTTTTAATGAAAATTTTACTTTGCTGATCAAAAAAATAAAGTTGTGTGGTTTTCCCAAAATGTTCACAGATGGACATTTGTACAATGGCTGAGCTTTTTGGGGAACTTATCTACCAAAGATCGACTTAAGAAATGTGGTGTGACAAATGATGCAACTTGTGTTCTTAGCAGCCACGATGATGAATCCCATTGCCATTTATTTTTTGAGTGTTGCTATTCAAAGAGTATTTGGAAGTAGATTCTAAGAAGGAATCACACTAATAACATCACAGGGATCCCCTTCCACTCAGTGTCTTCACCAATGGTCTGACACGACCATACAGTGTCACCTATCCTTTTTTTTTTTATGTATTTTTCTTGTTTTGTTCCTCTCTCCAAACTCAAGTTGGTTAGTTTCTATCCTCCTTGAGTTTGCGGGGGGCTGTTAGAATTTACCTACACCTACCACCACCTACTACCACACCTACTACACCTACCACCAATTTACCCTCACCTACTCCTCACCTACTACCCAAACCCTCTCCTATATAATGAGCTACTCTGCTTTGTAATATAACACATCAATGTATCAGATCAATCATAAACTCATCAATCAATAATACATAAATTTCTACACATTTCTTTCTCTTTGATTTTCTCCTTTTGAGCAACTCTCTTTCTCTCCCTACTCTAGGATAATCATTTTAAGAAACTGTACTTGATTCCAACTGCAATGCTCGCCATAGGATTTATCATGATAAATGGCTACGATGTAATCATGTCTTATGATTCTCAATTTGTTTTGATTTTCCATTCGTAAAATTAAGATTTCAATTCATGACACAATTCTTGAAACGATAAAAACTAGAGTAGGATAACTTAGAATTGTAGAGAGATACTTTAGAATATAAAGGTTTTATGTTAAGTAGCACCAAAACAAAAAAGATGTAATTTTGGCAAAATAAGAAATAGTTATAATGATAAGAATAGAACTTGATGCTTAACAAATAACTAATAGTGATAAGTTTTGATATTTTGAATTCAATCATCTTTACGGAGAAATTGAGTAGGATGTGGCCCATAATCCTAGCCCAGAATAATCTACTTGCACAATTTTTCTCATCAATGCCACAACAGTAATTGGCCATGCTCAAAGTGTACCAGGAATGTTGTGTCATTGTGACATTCCTGCCAAGTTGAAGGAAAAACTCTATAGGACTAGCCAGAAAATTCAAATGATTGTAGGGCTTTATATATATATGTGTGTATGTCAAACTTGCAGTCAGCTTGTTCCCAATTGATGCTTCCACCAGCTTCCCAACAATGTATGATTTTCTTTTGTTGTGAAGCCATTTTTCCATCCCATTATTCTGATAAATGTGCTATTCACATGGATATTTTATCTTTTGACTATTTAGCATTTTATGCCACAAAGCATATTGGGACTTCACCAAACCCAATCCAAAATGGTGGTATAGGCATGTGAGGGTGGTTCTAGGTTTCATTTCCTGCTAGTGGTCTTAAAGTGATCAAGGGTAAATGGGAAAAATTGATTCTTTTAGCTTGTCTTGTAAGGGTTTACCCCTTACATTTTTAGTATGTAGTTGTTCCTAAATATACCTTGGCAATATTTTTGTGCATCCATTACCTCATATTTTACAAGCAATTCACCACTTTAGTATCTATGACTTTGTGCATGATTCATGCAAGATCTAAGATCATTGATGTATGGAATTCAATAAATGCGACTGAAGCCAGAGGTAGGAGTGAAATAATAGTTGTCTATCTAAAATTCCCTCTACGTTAATTATTTGTTGGGTTTCAAACATGTGCTGTTTTCTAAGCAAGCGTATTTGGCATTTTCTACGTCATTCTACTTGTAGCCATATCTTATTAACAAATTGTGGCAGGATACGAGATGATATTGAGAAAGAGGAAGCCTTCCGAGGTCTATGTGCAATGGTATAAGCATGCTTCTTTGTTTTCCAATTAGGTTTGAGATTAGAAATGAAATAAACATCTCGTGTTATCAATTGCTTGCAGGTTAGAACAAACCCATCTGGGGCTTTGAGTTCACTTGTTTTCATGTGTAAAGCTATTGCAAGTTGGCATGTAAGAATGACATTCCCAAATTATTGTTTGCAAGTTAAAAAGAAAAAAAGAAAGGAAAAAAAAGAGAGATTGTGAATTTCTGTCTGTCCTTATTTGATTACAGGAAATAAGAAGTGAAGATCTACACAACGAAGTTTGCCAAGTGTTGCATGGTTATAAACAGGTTAGTGGTGCTTTGATTCTATATAATTAGACACTTGTGGTTGCATGGTGAAATATGTAATGATTTTTATATTCAGTTTACAATATTAGAAAATGGACAAAGATAGATAGCAAACAACTGATGTAATAAATGTATCAATAAATATATTTCCAGATGCTTAGGGATGGAGTGTGGGAGCAATGCATGTTTACTTTGGAGCCCCCGGTGAAAGACAAGTTGTCGAAGTATCAAGTATGAATATTTTCCTTGTAAGAGAGTTGTGTCTCTCCGCCATGCTGCTTGCTTCAAAGCTCTGTACCTGCTTCTGTATTGTTATCGTTTTGTGCATTGTCTGATTAATTGTCAAGCTGTGTTTCATTTGAGCAAAGATTCCAAAGGGCTGGTGACGTTTTCGAAGTACAGGCCGGATTATTTCCCTAGTTTCCATTGAAGCTTGAAGCTATTTTTTGTAATCTTCAAAGCTGCCCATGGATGACTTATAATATGGTGTACAGGGGTGTGGTTTTCCAAAGTTTTTTCAGCGAGTTTTTCCCTTCTCCGGGTCTTGAATTTAAAGAAAAGGTGTCATATATATTTCATTCAAACTTTAGATTCATATTGTTCCTGCTTGATCAGAGTTTCTTGTGTATACGATACTGTTAAAATAGATTCCAGTGCGAGTTCCACAGATTTTGTTATGAGGGATAAAATAAATATTGATTGTTAGAATTTTTTTTTTTTTTTTTTTTTTCCTTTCCCACATCTAGCTGAATCATTGTTGCGTGGGGTATTGGGCCGGTGGAGACAATAAGTATGCTGTAACTTTGAGTTTCATGATTTGATAAAAATTGTAATGAGCAAACTTCTTCAGTTAGTAGAAACTACAAGGTGTCTTTTCATTGTATTATTTTCCATTTTAACTCTCCCCCCCAAGTTTATTCCTTGATAATCCATCTTGTTTGGTTGTGAAGATAGTGGGATATTTTCGAGCAGCTGCTTGTATTATAAGACTTCTATGTGTATGTTTATGGCCTTCTTCATCTGTTACAATAGTTGGGGGGTTTTTGAACCTATATGCTTATTGAAAGTTGAAGGGCAGACCTGACGTAACGGTAAAGTCATCCCTTGCTAACCTAGTGGTCACGGATTTGAGTCGTAAAAACAGCCTCTCCGTTTGCAAGGTTAAAGCTGTGTATGTCAACCTTTTTCTAGACCCTGCTTAGGCGAGAATTTCATGCACTGAGTATGCTCTTTATGCTTGTTAAAAGTTCTGTAATGTTTACACATGCCTATATACATGCCTTATTGAAAAGATGGAATAATCATTTGAAACCCTAGGGATAACCGTTGCCTGGGTTAAATGGTTTGGAATGGGAAATGCTTAGAGCATCTTCAATGGTTATCGTCATTTTAGCAATGCCAAAGCTATAATGTAGCATTCTACAGTAGCGAAATGCCAAATTATAACAATGGTATTTCAATGGTAACACACCATTTTGGCACACCTCCAACCAACATTCAGGCATGAGTTTTGAGTGCTGGTCAAATATGTAAATTATTCTGAGTGAAAAAAATAAAATAAAATAAAATAACAATGATTGCCTTTCATGCTCCTATGAGGGGGAGAGAGAATCTTTATAATCAAAATATGACAGGACTTGGGTAGAATATGTTAGTAAGATTTAAATTTTCCATACGGCTGCCAATAATAAAAAGATGGATACAAGCTTCTCCAGCAAGGGAAAAAAAACAAATAATAAAATAAAATAAAAGATTCAGATATTAACATAGATTTTAACAAAACCGCTGTCATAGATGTAGGAAAAGCTTTGAATCAAAACATTAAAAGGCTGTTTGGTTGTGCTTTTGAAATGCGATTCTACATGCTAGTTTCAGCTCCATGTTTGGTAAGGGTTTTGAAATTAATTTTTCTTAACTCTGTCGAAAGCCCTGTCCATTCAGCGCGTTTCTTGTATTTTTTTTGGCCAGGGGAAGACCGCGGACTTGGGTAGAATATGTTAGTAAGATTTAAATTTTCCATACGGCTGCCAATAATAAAAAGATGGATACAAGCTTCTCCAGCAAGGGAAAAAAAACAAATAATAAAATAAAATAAAAGATTCAGATATTAACATAGATTTTAACAAAACCGCTGTCATAGATGTAGGAACAGCTTTGAATCAAAACATTAAAAGGCTGTTTGGTTGTGCTTTTGAAATGTGATTCTACATGCTAGTTTCAGCTCCATGTTTGGTAAGAGTTTTGGAATTAATTTTCCAAAACTCTGTCGAAAGCTCTGTCCATTCTGCGCGTTTCTTGTATTTTTTTTGGCCAGGGGAAGACCGCCCAATCGTCCCTAGGGACTACCACCCGGACGTCCTTGGGGACATCCACCTGGATGGGTTTCTCTTTTTTTTATTTTTTTTTTTTTTTTTTTTTTTTTTTTTTTTTTTTTTTTTTTTTTGCAATTGATTTATATGACTGGGAAAAGTATTTTTTGAAATTTTTTTAATATTTAATGTGCTTTAAAATAATTTTGAGTTTTATGTTTAGTTAGGAGTTGTAAATTTTCGTATCACATATCAAATATCACATCAACAATTCCCCATTCAAATCAAACCTCTTTTCCAAAACTATTTTCAAAACTCTTTACCAAACAAATTTTCTACACTCAAATCATAATTCTACAATACACAAACTCAAAATACAACTCATACTCTCAAATCACATTTACAAAATACAACCAAACGCAACCTAAATGTTGCCTGCCATTGTTTTCACTCTGGAAGTTGTGGCCCCTGCTTCGTGTAACAAAAAGTTTGTTCTTTGCCAGTATGTATGAGAGGTAAAAGAGAATTATGCTCACAGTGCTGATAAGATAGGCTCTGAATGGCATCAGGAGAAGTGTTGAGCTTGACTATACTCAAATGCCTAGTGGCATGATCAAAACCGATGACCGCAAGGTATGTCCTCCATCACGATTTAACTTGGCATTTCAACAACAATGGGTCACAGAGGCTTTCGTAGAAGCAAGGCCAACAGATAGGAAAGGGCAGAGTCAACTGAGGCGAGTGCAACTATAAGTAGTGCCACAAGAAAGAGAGTGAGAGAAGCAGTCTTCAGCTGCGCGCGCACACACACACGCATACAGAGAGAGAATCAATATATTGGCTCATTTTTTGTGAACAAAACTAACTAAAATTTAACTATAATAATAAAACAACGCTTCTTGTCAGTTTTTTTTTTTTTTTTTCCCTTTTAAATCAATTTTTACTCACGGTTATAAAAGGTTGTATCCAGTGCACAAGAGGTGGCAAAGGCAAATAGCACTTGCATTGTTCTAGAAAACTGTTTTGGTAAATTGAGCTGAAAAATCAGCAGTTTCCAGCGAACACTACAATATTGTAATATGTTCTCTGTTTATTGTTTCCAATCATGGACATACTTAGAAGATTGAAGACACCGTGTTCTCAAAATTTACACAGTTTTAGGAATCATATTTATGAGAATTGAACTAACTACACCAAACAAGCTCTAATTATCTTCTAAGAGGTTAAAAGCTTTGTAGTTTGACAAATCTGAATCACAATTAAAATGGAACTGCATATTTACACTCATATCAAACAACTGGCAAGTGATCCAAGGCAGTCAACCCAACACAAGGAATAGGCCATACATTTTCAATTATCTGACCAGTCAAACAAAAAATATGACGAATAACCCCCAAAACATCCTGTCAAACGTCACAATTAAAGAACGCAACCCTCTATTGTAAAACTTGTATATCAAACATATATAAAGTTGAGTAGCTGCTCATTTTTTCACATTAAAGAAAACCCAAAATCTCATCTCATGTTCCTCGTCATTGGTATATATATATTATAATAATCAACATGGAGTATTGATTTGTCTCATTATTAAAGTACGGGAATGATTTTTGAGATGTGAACTGGGATTACTTGAGCAAGTTCCCAGATCAATTTATTCTCAACAAAATAGAACTTCTAAATAAATTTCGATCACGGCTTAGTTGAGTTGAGTTGTATTCAAGATTCATATTGTTGCCATTGTTGGTGTGGAAGATAGCATAGCACCACAAATTTAAATTCAATAAGACGATGAAGTGGTGCAAACCCCAAAACGAAGAACAAACCATTTTGTTTCTTTATTGATTTAGTTAACTATTATTGTTATTACTAATTTGGACCGGCTACAATAAATGACAGCCTATATTATGTGTACACATTTTTTTTTTGTCGCTTGGAGATCCTTCCACATACAGAGCACCACAAATAAGCAAGATAAGACCATATTTATTAATTATTACCGAGAACGCCCTATACAACGCCCTCCCTACCACGAATAAGTGTATATAGATGTCCTCCCTCCCTCCCTCAGGAATCAGTAATGCACAAGAGAAACAGAAGCACATTCATGTCAAAAGCAGCCAAGATGTCTGCGGATGTTTCCGGCATTGAATGATTGCGGCCCACGCCGGCGGATTTTGTTCCTTGGTGACCGATCTTTTGAGTTTGAGGAGGTTTCAGTGGAAGCGTCTGGATGTCGCGGTGTGTCGATTGTGGAGAGGGGTGCGGGGCTTCGTCGGGCAGTGGTGGTGTATGGTCATGATGTGCGTTGGATGGTGGCGCGAATGCGGTTTGCTTCGCAGGATCCAGGTAATTTACAGTTTTTGGGTTGGCTAACTGGGGGTAGTAGGACTGTGGCAGTATGGGTACGTCGCGAAGAGAATGGTGGTTCGTCCTTCCAAATAGTGGTGACGACAGGGAAGAGAACAGATCAAATATTCATTCCCATGTCTGATTTTGGGGATGGGTGGGACGGTGTGGCCTTGGTCCTTGAAGGTTTTGGGCTGCATTATGGTGGTCCAATGCAGGGTAAGGCAGGGTCCAGACCTCGTCCTTCGCTATCCACCGCAGAGGGTGTGCCTGACGGGGTTAAGGCAGTACGGAGTGCAACGGAGGTGGAATGGTTCCGTATGTTGGATAGGTCGCTTGTTGGTAGAGTGGGAGAGTTGGGTGGCAAGGGGATGAGCTTTGCTGCAATGTCAGATTAGGTTAATCGTTGGTGGAAGATTTCGGGAAAGGTGAGGTGCGTCCGTTAGGTAGCCAGGCCTTCCTCTTTGTTTTGTCAAGCAGACGTGAGGCAGAGGTGTTGCTGCGACAGTGGTGGATTGCTGATGGAAGGGATCTCCAGTTGGAATGGTGGTCCCCTTTAGCACTTTGTACGTCGAAAGATACAACCTTCCCGGCGAAGAGTGTTTGGATTTGGGTGATGGGGGTGCCCATCCACCTTTGAGGGGAAGATGTTTACCGTGTCATTGGTGATCGGTGTGGTGGTTATGTGGAAGCCAATGAATCCTCTGTGGACCTAGGCTATGTTCGGCTGTGAGTTAGAAGCTCTCATGGCACTCCGCCGCGGGTGGTCGTCCGATGGGGTCTGTGGCAATTTTCTTTTCCTGTTTGGGTGGAGGAGGGTCCTTCGAGGACGCCGGCGGTGCCGGAGATGGTGCGCGGTGGAGGAGGGGGAACGAATAAGGATGGGACAGATTTGGTGCAATCACTTCGACGAAAATGGCGGAAGCTGGGGGTCAATGAATATCTGCAGAGATTTGGGCCGACAAATGGGGATAAGGGTGGACGGGGTCATTTATTTGAACTGCCCAACATGGGCCTGGTTCAAGATTTAAATCGAGGTACCCAAAGGAGTCATTTGGGCTTTGCTAAGGTCCAAGCTACTAGAATTGAGGGTCTGCCCAAACCGAAATGGGCCAATACTCGAAGTGGGCCATCTCATGGTGTAAGGAGGGATGAAGGGGCTCATTCTGTGGAAGCCCATGCAAACCCAACTCTCAGTCGGGTTCTCTCTTTGCTGCAAGCTGGGTTAGGTTCAAGACCAGATGATGGGTCTTCGCCGGTGGTGCATGACTCGATAGGTATTGCCGAGATAGTCACCACTGGTCCTACGCCGTCGTCTGGTGACGTTGATGATGCTCCTTCAGATTTAGAGCGAGTGGAGTGGCACACCTCTTTCTGAAAGCTGGTTTCGGTCCAAGCACAGTCGAGGCATCGCCGGTGGTGCGTGACTTGTTGGGTAATGCCGAGATGGTGCTGACTGGTCCATTGCTGTCGTCTGTTGGTGTCGCTGCTGTCCCTTCAGTTTCAGAGGGCGTCGAGAGGCATGAACATCAGCTTAGTATAGTCGGGTTTCCGGAATCGCAACTGCAACAACCTGTTTATGCTGAACATCGCTGGTCTAGTATGCTGGATGAGTTGGCCATGGAGGTTAGGCCTGAGGCAGGTTCGGATGAGGTGGCTGTGGAAAACGATGTGAATGAGGTGATTGGTTCGGATGAGGTTGAACTTGAGAGTGGTATTGTTGGTTCAGATGTTGATATACCGGCGCCAGAGGAGGTTTCTGCTTGGGTTTTATCTCGAATTAATGAGGTAAGCCAATTACAGGGGGTTTCTTTTGAGGACCATGAAGAAGAAGCTTTGAGATTATTTTCGGCATTAGAGGAATCTTGGAGAGGTGAGGTTCCTCTTCAGCAAGGGATGGATTCGGGTAGCCATAATGACAGAAATGCTAGGGAATTACTAAGGTTGGAATGTACTGTTAATTATGATCGTTCTCAGGGAGGTGGAGTGCGTTGTACTAGACGAGGATGTGATCAACCATTGTTGTTATCATGCGGATAAAAATTATCTTGGAATGCGTGAGGATTGAATGACAAGGGGAAGCGGGTTTTGGTGAAATCCGTTCTTAGAAGTGCACGGGCAGATGTGGTTTGTCTTCAGGAAACAAAGATGGACTGTATTGAGGGGGCGGTAGTTCGGGATCTTTGGGGTGGTAGATTTGTGGATTGAGATTTCCTCCCTGCACTGGGGGTGGCTGGGGGTGTTCTTTTGTGTTGGGATCAATGAGTGGAGGTAAAGGAGGATGTAGAATTGGGGGGTTTTTCTTTGTCTTGCCTTTTTCGATGTGTAGATGATGATTTCAAATGGGCCTTCACAGGGGTTTATGGGCCAGTTCGGGGAGTAGAGAGACCAAGCTTTTGGGAGAAGCTACAGACTATTGCTTATCGTTGGGGGGGTTCCGTGGTGTGTGGGTGGGGATTTCAATGTAGTTCGTTGTCTGGAGGAGAAATTAGGGGCTTCCTCAGGGAGGGGTCCTATGCGGCGTTTTTCTTCTTTCATTGATGAGATGGATTTGGTAGATTTTTCGCTCTAAGGCGGTGATTTCACTTGGTCTGGGGGTGGAGCTATGTCTAGAATTGATAGATTTCTGGTCACCGGGGATTGGGAGGAGCATTTCTTTCAGGCAACTCAATGGCGGTTACAACGTCCCACTTCAGATCATTGGCCAATTTTGTTGGATAGTGGGGGTATTAGAAGTGGTCCGACGCCTTTTCGGTTTGAGAGTATGTGGTTACAATCTGAGGGCTTTGTGGAGATGGTTCAAGGCTAGTGGGTGACTTACAAAGTGGCAGGATTGCCTAGTTCACGGTTAGCGAAAAAATTAAAACTCCTTAAGTTAGATTTGAAGAGTTGGAGTAGGGAGGTTTTTGGACAACTGGAGGGGCAAAAGGCTAGAGTCTTAGAAGCTTTGCAGGTGTTGGAGGAGAAACAAGGTGGTGAGGGGTTGTCTGAGGCTGATGTGGTTCGTCGGGAGGAAGTTCGGCAGGAATTTGGTCATATTGCACACATGGAGGAGATTAGTTTCCGCCAGAAGTCTAGATGTCTGTGGTTGAAGGATGGTGATCGTAACACTAAGTTTTTCCATCGTATGGCGAATGCTCACCGGCGGGTTAATCAGATTGGTCGGATTCGAGTAAATGGGGTGGAGTTTTCGCCTCCGAAGAGGTTAAGGCAAGTATCGTGGGTTTTTATGAGCATTTGTTTCGGTGCGTAAGGAAGGAGTGGCGTCCGAGTTTGGATGGGGTAAGTTTTGATGTTATTTTAGATGTAGACTGTACTTCTCTAGAAAGGCCATTTACAAAAGAGGAAGTGTTTAAGACTTTGCAAAGTATGCGTGGGGATAAGGCGCTTGGTCCGGATGGGTTTACTAATTCATTTTTTCAACACTGTTGGGGGGTGGTCAAGTTGGAGGTGTTGGCTATGTTTGAGCAGTTTCATCAGTCAGGCGAATTTGAGAAAAGTCTTAATGCTACATTTCTTGCCTTGATTCCCAAGAGGGGGGGGGGGGGGCGGAGGACATTAGAGATTTCCGGCCTGTTAGTCTTCTAGGGAGTGCATATAAGGTGTTGGCTAAAGTTTTGGCGAATCGTTTGCGCGAGGTGTTGGTAGGGGTGGTATCGGAATCCCAGAATGCTTTTGTGCAGGGTAGGCAAATTTTAGATGCGGTTTTTGTGGCGAATGAATGTGTGTACTCGCGGTTGCGTCAAGGGAAGGAAGGGATTATTTGTAAATTAGATATTGAGAAGGTCTACGATAATGTGAATTGGGACTTTTTGATATATTTGTTGGAGAGAATGCATTTTGGGACAAAGTGGCGGCGTTGGATTCTGTTTTGTATTTCTACTGTGCGAATGTCAGTTTTGGTTAATGGCTCCCCGGCAAGATTTTTCCCCACTCATCGCGGGCTGCGGCAAGGTGATCATTTATCTCCTCTGTTGTTTATTTTGGTTATGGAGGCTTTGGGGCGTTTGTTGGCAAGGGCGGTGCAAGCATGTTTGCTGAATGGATTTGAGGTAGGAATAGCTCCGGGGAACGTGGTGGTGTCTCATTTGTTTTATGCAAATGATGCGCTTATTTTTTGTGATGCGGAGGAGGCCCAGATTGAACATTTGAGATGCGTGTTGTTGTGTTTTGAGACAGTGTCCGAGCTTCGGGTTAATCTAGCAAAATCAAAATTGATTCCAGTGGGGCAAGTGGCGAGGTCTTCGGTGTTGGCAGCCATGTTGGGGTGCAAAGTGGTATCGTTACCTGTTACATATTTGGGTTTGCCTTTGGGGGCTTCCTTTAAAGCGACAGGGATTTGGGAAGGAGTGGTGGATCGCGTGCGTCGTCGGTTGGCAGGATGGCAACGTCAGTATTTGTCGAAGGGTGGGCGGCTTACATTGATTAAAAGTGTTCTGTCAAGTATCCCAACCTATTTTATGTCTGTTCATGTGATCCCAGTCTCTGTAGCAAGGCAAATTGAGAAATTGCAAAGGGACTTTTTGTGGGGTGATGGGGGTGAGGGTGGTCATTACCATTTGGTGTCTTGGGATCGAATCTGTAGGTCTAAGGAGCAAGGGGGTTTGGGGGTTCGGAGGTTGGTCTTGTTTAATTTGGCCTTGTTAGGGAAGTGATTGTGGCGTTTTGTGGATGAGAGGGCGCGTCTTTGGAGGCGGGTGGTGGTTGCTAAGTTTGGTGTAGTTAGGGGGATGTGGTGCTCGGGACGGGTGGGTCACTCTCACGGTTGCGGGTTATGGAAAGGGATTTGGTTAGGTCGGGAAGCGTTCTGACGACATGTGAGGTTCAAAATTGGTGTGGGGGATAGAGTTCGATTTTGGCGGGATAGGTGGTGTGGTGACTTGTCTTTAGAGTTTCGCTTTCCTTTGATATTTGTTATTGCTGCGAATTCTGAGGTGTTGGTTAGTGCTGTGAGGGTTGGGGAGGGGCAGTTGAGGGTGTGGAATGTGCAGCTGCGTTGTCATGTCCAAGACTGGGAGCTAGATCAATTAGTGGACCTCCTGGGTTTTTTATATGGTTTACATCTTGGACAGGCGGATAATGATGCTTTGGTTTGGGTTTGTCCTAGGGCCAAAGGTATTTTCACGGTGTTTTCGTTCTATGGGGCGCTTGTTGAGGATAAGTGTGTTGTTGATGGCTCTTTCGTCTATCCGTGGAAGAGTGTTTGGGTGCCGGGCACACCATCCAAGGTTGCCTTCTTTGTGTGGACGGCGAGTTTGGGTCGTTTTTTGACTATTGATAATTTGATTCGTCGTGGGCATATTTTGGTGAATTGGTATTGTTTGTGTGGTCAGGCTGCGGAATCGGTTGACCATTTGCTTATTCATTGTTCGGTCTCTTCTCGTCTTTGGATGCTTGTGGTGGCAATGTTTGGGTTGGTTTGGGTTCAACCGGGGTCTTTGTTTGTAGTTTTGCAGAGTTGGGTCGGGGGGAGGGTGGGGAAGAGGCGTCGAAAGGCTTGGATTCTTGCCTTGCACTGTTTACTTTGGCTGATTTGGCTGGAGCGAAATAGGCGGGTGTTTCATGGGGTCGCTCATTCCATCACTTGGTTAGAGAGGCGTCTTCTTTCTGTTCTGTATAGTTGGGTGACAGGATTAGTGGATCCAGATGTATTGGCTTTTACAGATTCTGTGGAGAATTTGATTTGTTAGTTTCGTTGGGCTTTTGTGGCCGGTTTTTGTATTCTTTGCATCTTCTTGATGCTTCTTAATAAAGTTTGGTTATTTATCATTATCAAAAAAAAAAAAAAAAAGTAATGGTATAATGTCTTGCATTTGATGGTAGCCAGCATTCTAAACTTATTTATTGACTATATATAAGAGAACGAAATGGCTTTAAATGGTGGTAGTAGTGCCAGCTACAATAGCAACGATTCTTCTTTTATTTGTTTTAACTCGCCTATGTATGCATGTTTATGTCACTGTGATTCAGAAGGGTATTATTTTTCTACCAAGAACTTATAGTAATAAGTTGCACAAGAAGAACCAGCATTCTAGAAACTAACCGTACTGTGGAAACTTGGCCACTCTATGTACTTCAGCTGGCTAGGTTGTTCAAGGAGGAAGACAAACAAAGATTTCAAAGCCCTGAAAAAAAGATATATCATCAATCACTTTGTGGGAATTAGTCTTTTCTTTCTATATTAATGTCAAAAGGTGAACTCTGTTCTGATTGGTATCCACCAAACAGGTGTTAATTTGAAGTAATTCAACATGATTAATTTCCTTTTTAAAGAAGAGGATTGCATGTACAATACCAGAAAGCTTCCTTTATCAGGGTTAACCAAAAGGGCTCCTCAAGGAAGTCATTGCCAGAGCTCAATTCATGATGATTTCCTCCTGGAGATGTAGCATATCTGGTGTGAAAACCACCTCCAAGAAAATACTGAATCTTTGCTCTAGGAATCTGCCGAGTATTTTTTATTTTATTTATAAATAAAAAAAAAACTCTAATGTGAACATATGAGTTGACATATAACACTTATAATTAAAAAGAAAGAAATTATAAGTTACCATTTTAGATTCCAGTCGAATGCCATTGTAATCTCTGCTTCTGTCATATTTCTGAATCTGGAATGGTATTTTGGGATGGACGAAGCCTATTAAAACAAAATAGATACCAATTAAGTAACAAAAAGCACTGAAACACTGACAAACTGGGGGGTTGAGAAGAATCTGAACAACCTGTCATCAACCCAGAGATTATTGCCATCTTATGCCAATGCTAATCCAAACCTATTGACAATAACATAAGAAATTCATCAGGAATTTTTTTATTTTTATTTTATTTTTTTTAAGTACAAAATAAATGAGGGAAGACAACTGGGCATATAATTCAGTTGAAGCACAATACAATGGTAACAGATATAGTAGTCAGAACTCTGATGAATGATGAGCCATTATATAATTACAACAATAATATAGGGATATTAAACATAATGAAATATGTCAGGCATGCCAAATAGCCAAAAAAAGAAAAAGATAAAAAAGTGTCCTCACTTAGAGGAATAGCGAAGGGTATTTATATTTAATGATGAAACGACTGCATTTTGGTATCAAATGACAATCAGTCCATTGCAAGCAACCTTTGATGCCAATTCATACCTTGCCACTGGACAGCAAAACTAACAAGATACTCTTGCACATCTATTTTTATTCAGATCACTGTTGCTACCTACGTTGTAAAGGATTAGCTTGCCCAGTTTTAAAGTAATTTCAATGAGTATCCCACACACTGGACCACGTACAACAATTGTAAAATTCAAAGAGGGTAATGTGCATATATAGCCAATCAATTGATCAAGTTAGGTTACTTAGCAAACTGAAAGCCCTAATGTGAAGACACACAAGGCAATAGCCATCTTGCAAATAAGAAATTTTGTTGCTCTAAGTATTGTTTGAAGCTAAAAATCATGAAATGGAAACTTCAACCTTTGGGAATGATTTTCTAAGGTTAAAAAAATAAAAATAAATAAAAAACTTAAACCAAAACAAAAACAGTTTCAGTTTGAGTTTGATAATGAGGAACCTACCCAAGGCAGGGCCACATTGGACCCACCTCTGCAGATTAAAACCTGAGTACATGCAATCACACGCAAATTACAGGTATTAGTTAATCCCGGGAGACACTAGCAAGAGTCAAACCCAGGTATCAGTTCAGCACATTCTTTGTATATGAACATCTTTGATAGGGCATCTTGCTTCTAAAGCATTGACTTACACCCTATCCAGGCTAGTGGCTACATATGATCGAATCAGCGAAAAATGCTAATCAATTAGCCAAACATCTTTCTATAACATTTCATACCATCCAGTTTTCACAGAATGAACCCAAAAATGTAATTCAGGTATATAATTTGCAACTGAATTCCACGAATTAATCAAAATTGATTAAAAGGGTTACTGGTGAACCACCAAAGGAAGAAAACCAAACCCCAAAGTTGAAAAAATTGAGTGAAAGAGAAATATGAACATATTGTTGAGGTGAATTCAGTGCACCACATATATATATATATATATAAAGGTCAATTAATAGCAATTGTTAGGGTAAGGGCGTGAAATATGTAAAAATTGTTGAATTGTTGAGGGATTCTATGTATATTAATGACAGTTGATCAATCTTTTGTGATTGAGACAGTACAATTCAGCAACAAATCTATGAAATCTGTCTTTAATTTCAGGAAGCGAAAGAAGGATAGTGTTTTAGCTGAGGACGAAGAAGAATAAGCCATACCTTGGAATCCAACTTGAGGGTTTTGCCCTCACGGACGCCGAAGAGAATAGAAGAGAAGAGGAGGAATGCGCCAAAAAAAAGTGAACTTTATATTCCTAAAATATACTTTATCCCATTTTGTTTGTTCAATTTTTTACATTCGCACGGTCAATAAATAAATTGATAATGTTTTTCTGAAAAAAAATTCAGGTTATTTATTTATTTATAAATTATAATATCTCAATTAATTTTTATGGATAAAATCTTTGAAATCCATAAAAATAAATAAATAAATGTAGGTAGATGGTTTTGTGTAGAATAGTAAAAATGAACAAATAATTTGAAACAAAAAATCCCAAAAAAAATAAAAATAAAATGAAAATTATATAAATTTTTGTCACAATTACGATTGAAAAATTAGGAATGATTCTATTTATAATACAAAAAGTCTCATTACAACGTTATTTTTATTTTTTATTACTTTTATTCATTTTCAAAATGACATTTATTCGTAAATTTTTCTTCACTTACTTATATTTTATTTTGTCTAAATTATTTTTTATATTCCAATAAGTTTTATAAGTGATATAGTTACTAAAATATTCCTAATAATAATATGGTGAAATGCATATTAATGTTTACAGTGGCAACGTGAATGTTCTATGATATGAACATTTACATAGTGAAATTTATTTAATGTGAATGTTAACATCATGAAAATGTGAATGTTCACACTGTCAAATTTATTTATTTATTTATATATATTTTTTAAAATTACGTATTCAAATGAGATCTTATTTGATAGATTGCATTAACTAGGTTTTAAAAATATAAATGTCACGATTCGCTCCTCGTACTCAAGGGTAAAGTATCATGATGGCCAGTAAATGAAGTTACCTCCGGTCAATTCTTAAACAAATTACTAAATACGAGCGGATAAAATATTTAAGTGAGGATACCAAAATAATCGTTGGAGTTTCTACTTTTATAACAAAATTTATTGACCAAAAAAGCCGATATTTACATATGAAGAATAGAATTATAAATACATTAAAAGTGTTGTGTGTGTCTATTCTGCAGCCTCACATCTAAGACTCACCAAAGTTATTTCTAAATTGCATTGTTTCTTGAAAATTGGTAAACAACTATAAGCACATAGCAGAATGAGAAATATTATACTAAGAGCATAAGGACATAAAATTCACTATAGATAATTATGGGGTTAAACAGGGCTTGATATTAAAATACAAAATATATAATACGAAAATCATTTGACATATAATACAGAAATCATACGGTACAGAACATAACAGATGTATGAACTCAAGAGGTAGCTCATATGAACTCTAGAATTGACTCCCACAATAATGTTGCACTTAGCTCCGCATAACAATTTGCTCCACACTAGAATAGGATTTAAGAGATGGCTCGTACGAATTATAGAGGTGCCTTCAAAAAAAGTGTAACACTTAGCTTTGTACAACACTTTGCTCCATACCAGATATCAGAATGCAGTGGATCCATAATAGACAGAGGGTCACAAAGTGACTAATCAAAAGGTCAATGGTTATTTAAGTTTCCCAAGACATGGGATCTCTGTAGTGGTGCTTATAGAAAATAATTGCTCATGAAATCACTGTCAAATAAATAATCAAATTTAAACATACATATCCATGTGTTTTATTTTAAGCAAATAGAATTTAAAAAATAATCAAAGTAATTAAAATATTAATATAGTTTATAAAATATAAATTATATAAAATAAATTATAGTAACTCAAAATATATAAAAAAATATGTTATGATAATTCAAAGTATATATAACTCAGCTTAATATTAATCCCTAGTTATTATTTTTTCGTTCACCGAAATTTTCCCTTTTTGCGGACAGACTACACCTCTTTTTTTTTGTTTTTTACCTTCTTTTTCTTTACTTCACACAGCCCCCTTATAGGTGTTTTAGGAAGTTGGTAAAAAGTTAACTTTTAACTTTTTACCAAGCTTTTTAACTTTTTGAAAAGTAATTTAGGAAGTTGATAAAAAATTAATTTTTAAATTTTTAATTTAATATTTGTTTATAGTGTTAAATTAAATTAAAATGACTAAAACACCCGTATCTAACATTTATTTTTTACTTTTTCACTTTTTTCTCATAGGCTCAATTTATAATTTTAAGTGTTGCGTTTTTTGATTTTCCAAATGAAGAAGTGACGTTTTTGGCCGGAAGCTTTTTTTTCCATGGATAAAAAACGTGGCGTTTTGCCAAGCTTCCCAAAACGGCACATACATACATGACCTGGATGATGAATCACCCATGTAATGATTCCTTCCGATTGGTGACTCACCTCTCCAGTGTTAGGCAGCACAGCTGGCTCGGCTTTCCTTTCGCCGACAATTTGCACAATTAATTGTTGTGCTAACTTGGCCTTTAAGTACAATATACTCATCTTATTTTAATAAATTAAGGTCAAATTAAATGATATCTTTGGTACATGTAGTTATGTAATGAGATATATTATTTCATATGTTTATGTTATTTTATTATTATTAAATAATATTAATATAAAATTTAAGAGATAATTTAAATTTTCGGATTGTTATAATAAATTTCATTAAAAAAATATACAACAAAAATTATAAATTTTTAAAATTTAATGTGTAAAAAGTATAAAATAGTGCACACCAAATTGCTAAGGGTTCAAAAAATATTTGTAAGAGTAAAATTATTCATAAAATATATTTAATATGAAAATTAGGATTTAATGAATTGAATGACCAACTAATTAAATTTATTGAAATATAAAATTATGTTATGAATTAATTGAGATATAAGTATTTAAAAAAAAATTCTAATAAATTTCCCCTTTCAAAATTATCGCACCCTAAAATTTATGATACAAATTTCCATCAATCCACTAGCATTCCACTTCCCTTCATTCATTCCTCTTCACAACTTTCCTTTGTTTTGTCTTTTTCATTTTTAAGGTAAACAAAGGGAAAAAGGGATCACGAACTCTAGGTCTATCCCATAGAGGTCTCGATGGGATACACCAATGAGATACACTTAGAGTTGGTGATCGAAGGTGTTAGCAGTGGCAACTGAAGGTGGTGGTGTAAAGGTAGGGTTCAAAAAGTGTGCAATGTAAAGATAAAAGATATGTTTGGTATTAATGTGAGTGTAAAGAGATAAAATTATATTTTTAAATTTTTGTGTGGAGTGTAATTAGAAATTTGGTATAATGAAAATGATTTCATATGTAAATAGAATCACACAGAATTAGATTAGGTTGTCCAATCTATAAAACCTACAAAAACCCCTTTTTTTTTAAGTTTTATATTTTTAAAGTTTATGTTTTATTTGGTATTGAACCAGAATGCAAATTCTAAGCTAGATTGTTTGCTTATTACGGAAAAATGTGTAAAAATTAAAAAGATAATTTATTTCAAATAAGTTAATAAATTGACTTTTTTAATTCATTTCAAAAGCGACCAAATATACAAATTCAAGTTAAATTTTCAAGTTTGTTTACTAATTGAGTTGTGCATGAATAAAACCAAAATTGAGTACAAATAACTATGAAAACTATAACAGCCTCTTCATTTCAAGATCGGCTCATTTATATAATTAAATTGATTTATATGTAATCGAATTAATTAGAATAAAATTCAAGTTTGAAGTTTGAACTTAATTCTTTAATTAATGTCTCGTTTTGAAATATACTGTTTTAGTAATTTTTTATAAAAAGAAATATAAAAAAATAGAACGAATGATATGACAATTTATAATAATTTTTTAATTTTTTAACTAAAATGTATAATTTACAACTAGATATAAGATGAATTTAGAGGCGAAGTCGAGCCCTCGATCTTGACTACAAATAGAGCTGGAACACCTTAAAACTCAAGTGTTGTGGTATCCAATTACAATTTACATTTTAAGATTCCATTTATATTACAATTTGGATAAGCATCCCATCCCACTATTTTCTAAGTTTCTCTAATTGCTCCACAAGGCCCACAACAAGTTCACAAACACCACCAAAACTGAACTCACTTCCCCTCTAGGAAATGAAACGACGAATACCCGATTTGGGTACAAACAAACTCACTAGTACTATTATTTCCACTCTATTTCTATATCCAACAACAGTTGTTGTCATTCCTATAAAAATCTAGGAGTAAAAATTCATCCCATTCACAACCCTCCTCAAAATTCACAACCCATTCAATTTATTAAAATCCCATATTATTTCTCTCTCTGCAATTCAGACATGGAAGAAACAACGTTAATCGACGATGTTGTTCCATTAAAATCGGAAGCAAAGAGCTTCCTAATCGCGAATGGCATTAATCACGCCCACTCACCAATCCGAATGTCGGACATAGAGATGGTAACAATACAATCACTGTCGTACATCAGTCTGAAAGATCTTTTGCCCGTATCTCCACCGTTGATTACGTCACCGACTCATTATAATCGGAGAGAGAGTTGGAGGGAGATTCCGATAAAGGATCCGTTGGTGCAGCATGCGGCGTGGGCGTACTTGCAGCCGATGTCGACGGCGGCGCGTCAGGGGGATAGGCAGAGCTGGAAGGAGAAGTGCGGCGGTGTTGGGTGGTGGTTGTTTGGGTGCTTTGGAGGGTTCTTCAACGACGTCGTCTGGAAGACGGTGAAGAGGTTGGTGCTGGTTTCGGAGAAGAATGAGAATATAGAAGACGAAGATGACGATGAAGATGGAGATGAAGAAGATGAAGGAGAAGAAGATGATGATGATCATCATCATCGTACAGTAGAGAGAGAGAGAGAGAGAGTTGACTGAACATTGAGGAGCTGCTTTTTGAAGATTCGTTTTGACCGGTAGATAGAACTTTTTTGTATATAAATTTTTTGTTTTTCTTTTTTCCATTCTTTTTTTTCTTGATGAATTTTTTTTTTCTCTTTTCTCTTTCTTTTATTTATTTGGGCAAATTATAAACACTCCCTCGAGATTTAATAAAAATATAGATTCTCCCTTGAGATTTAAAAAATTATAAATTGTCCCTTAAGGGTCAAATTTTCATAACAAATTAAGAGAAATTAATGGGAAATCTGTATGAAAATAAAAATTTTAGGAGACAATTTGTTATAAAA